TATTGTCCCAGAAACTGAATGCAGAACTTTGTAAAGAATTCTTAAAACAATTGTCAAGGTTGAACTGAATTCAAGAAAAAAAAATACATATCTGTAAAAACAGATATCTGTATCTCAGGACTTCCATATCTCTAAGATCTTTGGAAGCATTTCACGACAATTGCCAAAATATATAAAGCAATTAAAATATTGTGTTCTGGAATTGGCACAGTCAGAGATAGATATTTATAATGATTATGTTTATTGCAGTCTTGGGGTTCCTTGTATTTGGACATAATTTCCATCAGACAGTTAAAAGCCTTAGATTAACCTTCAACCCGTTAAAGCTTTAACTCTTTTCAATTGAGAAGCACAAATCCCCCCAGCAGTGAGAGCAAATACAGTTCTTGGCTTGTTCTTAGATATATTTTACATTTTATAAGTGAGAAAATGGAGACAATGAAACTTCATAGCCTACAAGTAGCTGTGGCTATTACAGCTCCCAAAGGTCCTCACTCCCCACTCATGTATTGCCCCTGGAATGACAGCACTACAGGCATTTACAGGACTAGGGGAAATGGTTTTAAGTTGAAGGAGGAAAGATTTAGGTTGGATGTTAGGGGGAAGTTCTTTACTAGGAGAGTGGTTAGGCCCTGGAACGGGCTGCCCAGGGAGGTTGTGGATGCCCCGTCCTTGGACGTGTTTAAGGCCAGGTTGGACGGGGTCCTGGGCAACCTGATCTGAATGTGTATGTTTGGTGGCCCTGCTAGGCAGGGGGGTTGGAACTACATGATCCTTGGGGTCCCTTCCAACCCGGGTGATTCTGTGATTCTGTGATTCTGTGATTTGCTTGTTCTCATTTTGTTCTAAAACAAAATGGACTGAAGAAATAACTATGGGGAGAAAAACCTTGTAGGAACTTGCATCTTTTAATTTAGTATTCTAGAAGTACTTTTTTTTTTTTAGCTTTATCTCAGCACACTACCAAATATAAATGAAATACATTGACTGTGCCCAGAATTGGATGGGACAAATAAAATGCAACATTTATTTTCCTTGGATAAACCAAGCTTGATGATTCTCATTTTCTCCTTCATTTTTGTATGATCTTCTAACAGTGAAAAATTAAATGATGAATGGAAACCTTCCTGTGGTGTCCAGCTGCACTCAATGCAGCATATTCCATTTGCTAATGAAGGAGGAAAAAAGCTTTCCACTTATTTGCAAGCCAGATGCAGAAATGATACTTAGACCTTAACTACAGTAGGGGCAAATGGTAGATTTTTTGGAGCTAATATTTCTCTCCTTTGATCCAAGATAAATTTTAATTCAATTTCAAAATATAAACAAAATATAAAAGTCTTTGGAGTTCTGCCATCAGTGCAGAGTCTTTCATTAACTGTATCTCATTAGAGCTGCAGAGAGATTCCCTACAATATACTTGGAATAACATCTTACCACTTCTGTCTGAAGCATGGATCTGTTTACATAAGTAGGTTGATCAGAGACAGTTTCTAGCCGAGCAAATGTTCAAGAAGATTAATGATGAACACATGTTCTATTTTATTATCTAAAACAACACCCAAATTCTTGACTGAAATCTAGGTTATGTGATGACATAGAGAGTTGGTTAGGGGTATTTCCTGTTTTCAGAGTGTTAACTCACTGTGTCCGCTTTTGTTGCTCTTCAGAGAATGCAGATAGTTACATTTTTGTAGAAGGATTTCACTTCATTACTAGGGAAATAGTGATTTTTTGTTTCTGTTGTTGAGCTGAAAAATGTAAGGCTGAGAGGTAGCCAAAAAGTGTATGCAGAGAACAACCACCAGAAGGAGAACAACCAGATTACTAGGAAAGGTGGTTCCTCTCTCATTTCAAGATTTTCTGCAGTCGTTAGGATGCCATTGAAATGTATGGCACAGCACGGTTCATGGTTTGGCATGATCCAGGTTCACCAGAGAACAAGTAACTTGTTTCTGCTTCTCTTTGCTCATGGTAGTTACACACGATCCAGTCTGCTAACTCGGTGAACAGCTTGGAGGCCTATTAGGTCTTTAGTGTTTGTAGATAGTTAAATAGCATTGATTTTAACAGTTCATGCAATTCAACAGACCTGAGCATGTTAACCTATGTATTATAGAGAAATTGAAGCAATTAAATCTAGAAAGCCGAAGAGAACTGCAGCTAGAAATGGTCATTACTGTGAAACTAGACATCAGATACTAATCTGGGTGTCCTGGTGGGCAACAAGTTGAAAATAAGCCAACAACGTGTTTTTGCTGCAAATGCAGACAACTGTTTCTGTGGATGAGTAAGGAAGAGTGTGGCCTGCCAGACAAGAGAGGTGATTCTTCTTCTCAGCCCTGGAGAAGCCATGTCTCAAGTGCTACATCCAGTGCTGGCCTTCCCAGTCAAAGAAAGATACGAACACTTGGGAGCCAGTCCTGTGAAACGCCACAATGCAGCATATGACAGGAGGAGAGGCTAAGAGCTGGGACTCTCTACCCTTGGGAACAGAAGCATCAGAGAGAAACTTATCAACAAATATGAATACCTGATTTGGTGGATATAAGGAAAATAAAGCTGAGCTTTTCTCAATTGTATCCAGTGGAAGAATAAGAGGCAAGGGGCACAAATATGAAATAGAAGAATTTCAATTTAAACATCTGAAAAAAATTGTAAGGGTGATTCATAACTGAAGCAGGTTGCCCAGAGAGGCTGTGTGCCTTCATCCTTGAAGATATTCAAAACCTAGCTGGGTATGGCTCTGAGTAATCTGTTCTTCTTGGACCTGCTTTGAGTAGAGGGGCTGGAACAAATGATCTCCAAATATCCCTTCTGACCTTAATTATTCTGTGACTCTGTGATTGCAGCCTTATTTATGTAATTCAGTCTGATACTTCAGGGACTCGCTATTTATATCACCTCTGCACTGAATACAGAGTCTAGTTCAAAAAAGCACATCCCAGCTGAACATTCAAAATCCCACGCAAAAAATGGTTCTTAGTGCCCAGACAGTGACACTTCAGTATTGCCTTTGACATCTACTTTATGCTTCACAACTCTTGTTCTGTTATGTCAATAGGGGAATGTAGTAAACTCTCCTGCCCTGCATAAGGATGAACAAACACCTCACTGTTGCTGGATCTACAGTCCAAAGCCATTTAGCACTCCAAAACCTTCATCTCACAAGGTAGAACAGCCATACTAAGTTGTATGCAAGTTTCCTTCCCTTATAAAGCTGTCAAGCTATTTCTCTTAGAGACAAGGAGACTTTTCCTTTTGTTTGTGACTTTTCAGAGGCTGCTTGAAGCCTATGGCAAATACAAAATGGAATAACTGGCCTCCAAGCATTTAGCAGGACCTACCTTCTTCTTTTGCCACATGTTGCAGTTTTTCTGTCCAGGACTGCATTACATATTTCATGTTATAGGGCTGTGGAAATCAGTACTGCTTTTCCATTTCATTTTGTTTCTCTTCAGCAATGGCAATGGTGTAACTGTCAGCAAAGACTGAAGTACCACCAACCCTTGGCTCACATCATCCTCAGACAAGCCTGCCATGAATAAGTTCATGACCATCTCCACAGAGAAAAAAGACAGGGTAAAGCATAAACCTACAGGTTGCAACTTATAATTGCAAGTGTTTCTAGCAGTAACAGTCAAAAAAGACACTTAGCCTCGCATCTGTGAAGAAGTACAGAATGTGACCTGCTTAAGCCATTGCAGTTAGGTATAAGTGTGTCACAGCAGCATGGCACACATGTGGTTCAGTGGAAGGAGAACCCAGGACTTACAGTTGTTGGATCTGATCTCCGCTTGATGTTTTCTCCAACAATACATCCAGTCCTTGCCAGCTAATTCTGAATGATTCATTTTGTTACTGGATAGTCATATTTTGTGGGTAGCCACTAGTCAGTTTGAGTTATTCACTTCTACAAAATACTTCCTCTAGAAAGTACTGTAAACAGAATTAATTTTTAAATAGTTTGGGTTGTTTGAAAGCCATGAGCAATGGTTATTAATATTGGCACAGCATAGGTCACATGCTAATGATTCAAAGGATGGAAACTGGAACATTTTGGACAGAACTGATGTTTTTACATTCACTTATATCCAGACACTCTGGTGGAAGAAGTGTTAATTATACCCAGGACAGCAGACTGGGGAAGTTACAGGTACTAAATACATGTAGACGTGGTAAAATAAATCTTTGAAGATGACGAAAATCATGTATATTCAAGTAATTTATTTTCCATTTGTTGGCTACAACATGCAACTCTATCATGCATCTGTTCTGAAAGATGAGGGGAAACAAGTTTGTCATGCTGAAGGCAATGGAAAGTATGCTTGATATAGCATGCACAAATATGGACATGAAACTGGAAGGCTGCACTGCTAACAACTCTTACAGATGCAAAGAAGCATGCACCCAAATTCCCAAACAGCATACTGTGATGTTTTGACTTGAAATCTCTTGCACTGAAACTAATTCTTGTGATAAAAAAAATGGCTGGTCCCCAACCAGCAGGCTCAATAAGCCAAGAAAGCTTTACACTTGGTGACAGCAGCCTAGTTACCATTAGCAGAACTCAACACTGTTCTGCTTCTCTAAAAAAATAAAAATCTCCCAGGCTTGCCACTGTTTGGAAAGAACCTGTAGTTTTGGTTGTTGGTTTTTTTTTTTTTTTTTTTTTTTGCACATGTCTAGACTGGCTTACTGCTTTTCAGTGCAACTTCTTGTCATGGTATCACAGCCAGTATGAGCTTTTTGACTGCTGCCGACCAAGGCAGAGTCTAAGTAGTCTTCAAAAGCAAAAGAATCTGCCAGCAACTGAGTCAGATTTAGCTGCCTGCCAGGAATTTGCTGCATGCCATACAATACAGTCTTGAGTCACCTTCTAAAAACAGACTTGATTAATATGTCCTTAACAAGAGAAAAAAGACTGAAATTCCCATTTGGTCTTATGCCAAGACTCTACCATGCTCCTTTTTCTTCCAAAGTCAAAGCACTTAGTTGATTTCAGTATAAATGGCCATTCAAAATGTCATGTTCAGTGAGGAACATGGCTGGGGACTGACTGCATGCTGGGCCTTATTGAACATGGCCTTCTGTGGAGAGGAGCAGGAGTCACATGCAACAAAACACGGGCGTTGCATTGGACTGTAAAAGAAGAGTGGCTGCCTGGATGTTCAGATTCATGAGGGTAATGCCCACATCTCTCCTACTGCAATATGAATGAGAACAACATGATGATGGAAAACAGCAGCGAGTTCTTTAGGAAACTCAAGTTCTTCTTGCTTAATTCACCACTAGGTGTCATGACGTCTTCATTTTTAAGCAAACAACTGAGTTTTCCATGCCTAGGGGGGAAAAAAACAACTCTGGATGACGGCAGGAAGCCAGCATATTAGCAAAATATTCAAGCTGGCTCCAAACGAAATTCTTTTCAGTAAAGTGAGGTTGGTAGACAGCACATTCAGAGAAAAATGAGAAGTCATTTACATGAATTTTGCAGATCGCTGCCATGACTGACCATATTGAAACACTGAAAATGTCATGACTGCAGGTAGCTGTAGAGCTCAGCATTCGCAGCGCATCACAGGGCTTCTCTTATATTTGTCTGCTTCACTCTGTCAAAAATCAGCCCCACACTCAGTAGACTTACAGGTACACAAAGGTGAAAATAACTTTCCTCACATCTGTGAAATTACTCTTTGGATGTGTCTCAGAACAGCTGACTTCGTGAAGTCAGTCACTACTAACAAACACTGCAATTTTGATAGGTTTGGAGATTGATAAATACAGAGAAACAGATTTAAGTGTACATTTTTGATATGCATTGACAGGAAAAGTGCATGGCAGGAAAAACGTCAGTACAACTTCCTACTACCCCTCTCTATGCCATGTACTTCCATGCTGCTATGCTCTCCAGGGAAGTTTCACCACCTCCTGCTTTTCTGGCTTTTCCATTGGGACTGAATTCAGTGGAAGTGTGCTGGGTTGGCACCCTCCACAGAACTGTGAATCCTATCTCCTTTCTTGCAAACAAATAATTGTCATCACAAAGAGCTGGAGCACACCTGATTTTTGACACCATGGGTTAGATGCTAACCAGCAAAGGAGTGAGGAGCTCTCTCGCCTTCTCAAGGCTGCCACAGTGGGATTAAAAATGTGAGACTTGTCAGAACAAAGCCAATCAGCTTCAGCAGAGCGCTCTTCCCTTGTGTTTCTGCATTTTCTGTCACATTTAATGCTGAAGGCTCTCTGGAGAACATGAATCCACCAGCCCACGATGAGGCAGAGACCTGCTACATCAGACTATGGTACATCAGACTACGTACTTCTGGGCGCTTCTTAGGAACTTGGCAGCACGTTCTAAACAACTCATTGTTTATTTAATTAATTAAAGCTAAGTCTGAAGTAGCTGCCCTGTATGGGCAGATGGTTTCTTGTCTGACCCCCATGTAGAGAGCACATTTGCTGGATGATTTACAGCTAGCTCTGGGAGCCAAAGGAAAAATCCAAACATTGCTGGCTGCAGTTTGATTTTGTTTGATCTCTTAAGTAGTTTAACATGGTACTGGCCTTCTTTCTCCATTTTAGGTTTATCCCTTCCAGAACAACAGAATGAATTCAGTGATGCAACTTCTAAACCACCTACGTGATGTCCTGATCTGGAAAAAGTATTATAATTGCCTTTAAGATAAGAGGTCTTCTGTTTCTGTCTGGGGACATCCCACAGAAGCACAGGGAAATCCAGAAGGGAACCTCATGAGTGATTTCTTCTCTTTTCAGGTGCAATGTTTTTACTGTAATGTACTACGACTTTCCATCTTCCCATTTTAATAGTTAGGAATTTGAGAATCAGCACTTGCACGAGAATTTAAAGCTACACAGTTTCCTCCATCCTTCAAAGTAAAGCCATGTCACTGGGTGGTCTTGGCACTGAGCATTCATATGGGGCTAATAAAGGTGATTTTTCTCAGTACAGAACCTGAGATATCTGATTCATGTTGCAAATGTGTAATTAATCTACTGCATAAATCAAGACTGATTCACACTCTATATTCTATGTTGAAGCAACACAAAAAGATTCCACTCATTGGGATGCAGTGGACATTTTGGACATTTGTTTCCCAAGGGACTCCGTTCTGCCTTCTTTACTTTTTTTGTAGAATGCCTTCAGTGTTTACCATTGTTTATTTAATATTCCCTTTGCTCTTACAGAAAATTATACATCTTTCTCACTTTTTTTTTCCCAGTTTATTTACCTTAGACATTTGACAATATTTTGTGTCCAATCTCCTTCACTTCTATTAAAATTGGAAAACATAATGGAAAAACCATTGAAAAGCAGGGGAATTCAACAGTAGGTGCTAAGTATAAATTATTTCCACTCATTCTTTAAATAAATTGAATGATTTTCAAATTTTCAGTCTTTAATTTATAGCTGTAGCTAATTGCTAAGCATACTTAAGAAATATAGGATAACCTGAACACTGGATATTATTTATTTACTGCCTGTTATAGGGAACTAGAGTATAATGCTTGCATTTCTTTTCTAACCCCTAATTCCCAACTCCAAAGAACTGACACAATCCATCGTGCTTCCCAGATCTTTCCGTATCTCTACAACTGTATTCTCAGTGTCTTCAAAGTGTATTCCATCCATACCTTCTCTGGTACAGATGGTCTGGTTTCTAGCTCCCAGTAAACTCTTGCCTTGTATAAGAACAGATAAATCAGTAGGATCATTACCCTGTGGAAAGTAATATCTGGTGGGAAGCTAATTAGATATATCGTCAGAGACCCAGATATTTTGCTTTAGCCAAAAATGATGTGTGGGCACCAACTGTGAGTAGGAGAGAGACATGTTTTTTTCAAGAATTCCAGATAAACTATACAAACTGCTGACAAATAAACTCTGGAGATCTGTTAAGGCTCCTGCAGTGCTGTTATCAACACTACGAACTGACCTGATGTGAAATATATACATTTTACTAAAACCAGCTCATGGATGATACCTGAATTGCGTAGTAGCAGAAAGCTGCGGTAGGACATACTGGAGACATCTGATTAAACTCTTACTCAGCAGATTTAGGGGTAAATGAGCCTTGTTGGAACAGAAATTGTCCTGAGCATATGCAGAAACATAGCTCTTGGGAGGCTCCTTCTAGGCAAAGCTGAAGGATGTGAGTGCTTCACAAAGTAGGATTCCACACATGGACTTAACATGTAAGCTACATTTAAGTCTCACTGTAGGGCTGAAAAAAGAGCACTGTGCATTTGATCTGTACACAATTTCTTCTCAAAAACAGGGAGATGGATATGAAACAGTTTGGGTATTTTTTTTTAAGTGTTCCTCTAGAACTACTACTGAAAAGCACCTCATGGGAGATAGAGATTGTTATTACCTGTAAAAGGGGTACCAGATCTTCCCTGTTTCACAGCAGTGAAGTAAAGATTAGGACGTTACATTATTCTTATTATATCCAGAGGGATAAAAAGCACTAGACCACACAGTAGAGCAGGAAACATAAAAATATTGCCCTGATAAACTATGAGTTGAACACCAACTCTGAAAGACTTGAAGCAAGGAACTCAGCTGCTCTTCTCATGTAAGTTTACTTAGGTGCTGACTGGAGATGTTCATCTCTTGATGAGAGATGGCTGCAAACTAGGAGATCTCTCTGGCTTGTAAAAATTTGGCTAATGATGTTCACTTGTTGCTGTGTTTTGGTTTTTGGCAGGCAGATCAATGTGTAACCATGCATATGATTAATTATAATGCCTCTGAAAATAAAAGAAATCCAGTCAGGGCCACACTGTTAGAAAACTATTCTCTGCCTGTATGGAAAAGTCTCTTCTGAAGCAAAAGAATGTGACTGGAGGCTGTAACTATCATAAGGGGTCTCACTCAGGGAGCTAAAATGAAACTACTGAAGTAATTTCAGTGACATATGCAACAGGCAGTCGTAGCTATGTCTTGGAGGCACAACTTAACCATGGAATAAGTCACAGGGATCTGTTTCAAAAACGCATGTCATCAAAGAGGCTGCTGAGATGAAATCGCAACAAATAGCCAAACACGTGCTTCATAAAAAATGCATTCAAAGAACAAAATCCACACCAAAAAAAGCAGTTTTCACTGTTGTTCCATAGTGTTCCTTAAACAGCAGATGGCAAAGATAGTTGCATGAACTTCTTAATAAATGAAATCCAAACAGCTATCTCCAAGCTATTTAAAAGAGTGCCATTCACCAGTAGGTCATTCACCAGTGATACTCTTTAATTTACTGGTCTTTTTTTTTTTTTTTCCCAGACATGTGTGCCTAAAGCACTCATTTATGACAATGGCCTGATTTTCATGGCAACTGTTCCCATATGTTCCCACAGGAATTGTAGTTTCCAGAGTCTCTAAAATAAGTCTGCTCTTCTGAGTGGTTAAAGATGGCTTTTAGTTGTGTAACTTTTGGGCATCCTGTATCATAGAGTTTAGGCCAAATGGAGAAAGTTAAAGCAGATCTCAGGCAGCTAGTAAGTCCTGCCAAACCCCAGGGGACGGTTTATTCATCAGAATTTATAAACTGAAAATGGTGCCTTTGCTATCTGGGAGCTGCACAGTCAGTCAGTCAGTCAGGAAGCCAGTCAGGTGTGAACGCTGCAAGCAGTGCTGAAAATAGTTTTGTAAAATGGCATATTCCCAGCCAGCTGCACCAAACATGCTGAGCAGCCCTCATGTAGACTAGTCCAGCTCGCCTGATGACCACAGAAGCTGCTGATACCGAAGTAAAACATGATTTCGGCGTCACAAAAAAATGACCTTCTGAATAGCACCCTGCTGACCACTGCAAGCACTAAGCAACTTGGTCTTGACTGATGTTTTGCCAGTTTAGTGTTAACTGGTCAAATTCGAGTTCTGGTTCATTTGGGGCAAGCTTTTCTTGCTTTCTTGGCTTTGCAGAGGTGTCTTGGAACACCAGTGGGGAATTCAGGTGTATTCACATTACTATATGGAAAAGAGACGTAAATTCCAACCTGCTTGTCTTGTTCCTTTCCAAGGTTGAGGAATTTCTCTCTGAACTTTACTTCTCCTTCTTTTGCCAAAGAGGTCAAGAGAGATGTGCGGATATCTGCATCTGATTGCCAACTGCAATCTGATTGGTCTTAATGGGATCAAGCTGTCAAGGTAATTGAGTGCATTATCTTGATCCATTCAGGAGTAAGAAATGAAGATGGGGCTTAGTTTACTGTCAAATTTTTTTTTATTATTTTTTTTTATTTTTTTTTGTGGAGTATGTGGTTGCCAACATGTGATGATTCACGAACACGACTGTAAAAGGAATAGCTTCTGTGTAGT